AGATGATAGAAATGGCATTTATAGTTCAGAAGACGAGTACGAGTTGGTTCCGCGGGACAGGGTGGTTTCGTCAAGCCCTGCAGCCCATACTTCTATTGGGACGTCTCTTTTTGGCTCGTCGGACGAAGATGACAGTGACGATGAAGTTGCCATCGACGAAGTCGAGGTTGTTATCGTCGACGATGATAACGGCGATTCCGACTACGAGGATGGTGCGTCTTGTTGTACCCTATATATACAACCCACGCTTACCCTGTCTAACATGTGATATGCATTGTGTCGTATAGCCGATAGTCTTATGTGTAGCGACGTAAAATACAATCTCAACAAAATGGAGGATGGAGAAGACCCTAACGACTTTGGTGACTTTGACTCTGGAGACGAGATTAATGAAGATGCAATTATCGACGTAGATGATCTACAAGACGAGGGTTACGAAGTCGGTGTCGAGCACGGAGAAGCTGGCGATGAGGAAACAGATGGTGATGATATCAACTCAGTTGAATCTGTCGCGGAGCGACACTTTACCAAGATGTTTCTCACGTCACTGGGAGGACCGGACAAGGTGCTTGCTGGAAATGTCGTCGGCGACGACCTGAAGATTTTGTGGGACCACAGCGTAACTGGATGGTCGGAGCCCGAAACTCCTGATGTGTACGACGCCCATAAGAAGCCGCCGGAGAAGCAAACAGCTACCCGGATTTGAGGAAGGAGCCTTTCGAACCTACGCCAGATGCAATGAAGTGTGGTGATTTACGCTAGTGCTGCTCTTCTACTTTATGCCAGTATCACTTGCAACATATTGCTGTGTGCAGCAACAACTACAAACATGAGCAGACAGAGGCGCGTGTTGAAGCATACTTAGAGCGTCGAAAAACATGCAGCGTCGCCGGCCGGATGAAAAGACTCCGCTACGTTCACGAGGAGATGTACGTATGTCACTCATGGCAGTCCAGCCTGTTCTTCCCCATGAACTCTGTGTGTTCATGGGGCTACTTCTCGCTCGGACTGTGCAGCCAAACCGAGAAAAGATTTCTAACTTCTGGAAACGGGACGATGAAGGCGCTATCGGACGTGGCAAGTTCTCTAACTATATGACGAGAGACCGCTTCATGGAGATTTCCCGGAATCTGCACTTCTCAAGCAACCTTGATCTACGCGTCAAGACTGATAGAGCCTGGAAGATTCGAAAAGTAGTTCATGTGCCGCAGCGCACATTTCGTCGTGGTTTTATACATCCTGCTGAGCTTGTGTTCGATAAAGGAATGCTACCATCGCGGTCGTCGTTCAACAAGACGCGCGTGTACCTAAAGCAGTCCGCCTGCAACGGTGTTCCTCGCAGCGTGCAGTGACTTTCCGCAAGTACTACAAGTCGCTGTTTTTTGGGACTCGTGGATCTAGCTATTGTCAATGGCTACATTGTACACTGGGCTTTTCACGCAGCAAACCGGAACACGTTCTTTGACCCATGTCCAATATATCCGCAAGCTGCACCTAGGCCTCATCAACATGAATGATGAAGACATGTATGAAGGCAACACGTTCGGCGCTGGTAGGTGTGCTAATATTCTGTTGTATATACAGTCTTGACTAACATGTATATACTGCTACTGCAGGTCAATCTCCTCCTGCAGACTGCAGTACGCGTTCGGTCAAGTGCCGACTTCTTCTGATGCTGGGGTGTTGGCAGAGTGTGTCGCTCATTCGGCAAAGCAAACTGACGAGTGGAGGAACCACTCAGGGCAGCTAAAACGTGTACAATGCAACTGCAAAGTGTGCTCCATGCTGCGGACGGACGGGAAACGCGGCGGGACTACTACATACTTCTGCGATGTATGCTTCAGCTTGCTCCCCGTGTACCTCCGCATGAAACCGAAGCATACCATGGACGGAGAGCTGCAAAGCTGCTGGGATATCTGGCACAACTTGTTCAAGAACGGCATGGACATTCCTGACAACATGCAGGGTAAAATACTTCTGTGCAAGTCACCCGCCAAGCGCCGCCGAACGTCATTCGTAGAAGAGAAAGATGCAGAGTGAAAAGTGAGAGTGAACGTTCTTTGGATAATTAGTCGAGATTCTAATGCGATGACTACTTGTACTCTAGGAGCGTCTCTATCCATATGACCTTTAGTATGTATGTTGGCGGTGAAGACACTTCACGTGATTGCGTCCGTACCTCAACTTAGCATACTTGATTTCAGTATGGGTCTGATCTGCATTTTCTGGATCACTTTTATTGTTAAAATTTGACAAAACTCTCTAGATTCCAAAGGGGGTTGATCTGGTTCTGTACACGTGTTACGAGGTGAAATGCAAGATGCTAGTGCAATGTCAGTCCATACCAAAATTTATCGGACCGGATGACGTTATCGGATCTGTACCAAAACTAGGGTACGCTAAATAAAAACCCTCAAAACCAATTTATTAGCTTATGGATTAGATATTGTGGCCCATACACTAAACACTATTATTTTACAGAAGGCGGGGAGGGAGATAGCGAGGGGCGATGACGGCGGCGGCACGTGTGACAGGAGGGTGGCGACGACGGCATGCAGCAGGAGGGTGGCGGCGGCGACAAGAGGGGCGGCAGCAAGGACAGGAAGGAGTTCAAAGACGGAAAAAGCGAAGGGGATATCAGCAGCGGGCGGAGCGTCAAGGGCTGTGATATCTTACCCGGCAAGGCGGGCGGCAGGCTGCCCGCTGGGTGCGTGCCTTCATGTGGCACTTAGAAGGGCGGACTCCGGTGGTTTCGTCAGACCATCTAGCTACAAGCAGCAAGGATGCCGCCGTCAGACCCCGTGCAGACCCCAGGAGAGCTATTGATCCACCCGGCAGGGAGGGAAGCAAGCTGCCGGCTGGTAGCCCACGGGCGCGCACCAAGTCCAGATGCCCGTCCCAGCCGCTGGTCGTGTCGATGTAGAGCTAGATGCTAATAGTTGTTGTGTGTGGCTAGTGAGCGTTAAATAATGTAAAGTATATCCGAGTAATTGACGCAAATTATCAATGTCTCTTTAAAAACGGGTACAATAATAAGAATGCGCAATGTAGAAGTTACAATTGTAGCTACTGCATCTCGTCATCATAGAGGCTCTTAATCATGTCGCCATTTAAGCGCTTTCAATAAATTGCTACGGTATAAATACAACAAAATTTAGAAGCGCTTATGGAGTCATTTGTACTGAAATGATTACGCCGGTCGGATAAAATGAAAATATGCGTGTGATACGCCGACATCTTGATATTTGTAAAGGTACACATATTTTCCGTGCCCCTCGGACCTAATACGTCCGATGTGGAAGCTTAGATGACCAGCCTAACCCTTGACGGATTGATTGGCCAAGACTGACATATTATTTGGATATGATTGGTTATCCAAAACAAATAAATATATGATTGGCCATTAATACTGATAATAAACCTTAGTGGGGTCCGATAAGTGATGATATTCATCCATATACAGCGTATTCGCGGACAACGCGCGATATAAGTAGCTTCTACGCCGCTAACCTATTCATTCACCATCTCGCCCAACCCTTGAGGTATACAACTTTCTATACTAATGTATGTTGTTATTAATTAGCGGTATCCTCCTCGCGCTTAGTGTGAGTTACTTCTCTAGGATACGATGATCGCCGCAAAACCTGCTGCACACACGCATACAGCTATTTATACAGTCTAAAACTGGTCGTCGTGCGATTATTAATCTCCGATTACATGTAATAACAATTTGCATGAGTCAGCTCGCCTGGGCTCTGCTGCAGAGTCTGCAGGCTCGCATCCAGCCTGCAGCCCGAAGTATACTTGAAGAACAGCAAAACAGAAAATGGAACCTCGTTTAATTGGTGCGACTCGCACCGTGCGAGGCGTTCAAATCTGCGTGGCACGTCACGATCCACTCAAACTCTGAGAGGAATATCCATAAATCAGTAGCTCCCTACTGTTTTCTTTTTTGCATGCCACACCAGTTGCAGCTCTTTTTTTAAAAGAGAAAACTTATCGTGACACTAGATCTAGCGCATACAAGTACAAGTTTGGAGCTCGTGTTCTTCTCAGTACTTGTACGAGGTCATTGACAATCCAAGCCATCATCACCGAGCTCTTTACTGTTGTGAACAACCTTATCACAGTCCGGAAATCACTGCTAGTGAGAACACGGCATACCTAATACTTAAAGTGACTGACTTTGTGATATGTTTGGCAGTGCAACGAATCCATGGGTCCGAATCAAACTGCTAAGCAACTCTGGTCGAACCGAGATCTGCTTACAGACTACCAAGTTTGGGTCAACTACCGAATGGCCGCCAAACAAATGAATTTGTATTACGCCGGATCGAACATCATGGGCTGCCCTCAGGACGAGACCTGCCACTGTAACTCACCCATATCGCGTGGGAATATAAATGTACCAGAGCACAGGCGTTCCGAAGCAAGATGTTTGCGCATTGGACTGGGTGCGAGTCGACAGCGGGGCTGTTTAAGAGCTATCAAGACAGCTTCGCAACACGTACGAGACCTCCAGTGGGATCGCGGTTCTAAGTCAGAATTGTAAGGAGCTATGGGCAGTGGAAGCGATAAGTAGGGTCTGGGCGATTTGTAGTTTTGGGCTTGCTGTACTGTGGCAATGTCGAAATCAGGCACATAATCAAACCGAGTATATGTGGAAGAGCTGCATCAAACAGCTTTTATCGATAGCAATAAGTGCTAGCTAGCGGCCAGCAACAAGAGCCCATGGGCTCCACCATCAATTGTGTCTGGATTCGCTAGACAGCATGAAGGTTGAAAGGGGTGGACAGGACCCGATACCGCCGGTGCTGGTTTGGCTTCAAGTGAAACGGTTAAACTGTAAAATAGTATTTTAAAAAGACTTCTTTGTGCGCATGCAATAAATCAGTAGGTATATACTGATTTATGGGAATTCCTTCAAACTTTGAGCTTTTTTTTTGAAGCCGGTCTCACTTCCAGAAACGTGTGTCTGTGATCTCGCCTGGTCTCTATTAATATAATCCAATCCATCCACTTGCTGTTCGCTTGCTGTTTGCGTTCGACCCGCCAATCTCCGCGTCGTCTGACTTGGAGCTGCGTGCAGCTCAAAACTCGACCAGAGAGGAGGCACTGAGTTTTCTTCCTTCGCCACCCAGTGGGTGACCCACCCACTCGTGTACAATTGGAATCTCCCCGTGTTCGTCAAGGCAATCACCTGCTGTGTCCTCTTCCATCTACGCCGAACGAGACTTGTTGGCGCTTCAACACCGGTTGAACACGGCCATTCGTCGTGACTTTCTCCACCCGCTTTTTAAAAATCTGTACCCAACGACACCATGTTTGCCAAGCCACGTGTGTACGTGGGAGACGAGGAACGCCGTCGGAAGCAGCGTGACCTCAAGCGTCGGTATCGTGAGCGTCGTAAAGTAAGTCGATGGCTTGTGCGGTGCCGGTCGTACTGGAGGATGAAACTGACGTTCACTTTGACCGCAGAATGACGTGCAGGCCATGCAGCAGCAGGTGACGCAGCTGGAGGCTCGATACGATGCGCTGCTGAACGCACAACAGCAATCGGCCATGACGTCGCGTCGGGTACCCTCGCCGCTTGAACAACATTACGCGGCGGCCACGAACGAACTCAACTCGTTACGGCGACAGATCGCTGTGACCAAGCAGAAATTAGCCGAGTTCGACGGCTTCGCGTCGTCTTTGGAAGTGTATCTGACCGACTTTGACGCCCCCTCCGTCATCATTTCGGCTTCGTTGGCTTCTGGCGCTGCGAAGAGCTCATTGCTAATGGCCCCGTCGCTTCCTGGTCCGACACCTGCAGAGCCCCACGCGCGCCTAACGGAGCAGGAATGCCTGGAAATGATCAAGAAGTGCTATTATGAAATCTTCGACCGGCGATTCCGTGGCCAATGTCTGAGCTCAGGTATGCACATGTTGGGCTGGGAGGATCAGATGTTCCTGGACGGTACAACACTGCAGTTCTCCATGTCAAAGCAAGTGACGGGAATGTCGGCCAACACGCTTATGCAGAAGACGTGGGATATCGTGACTACAGAGCAACACATGCGCACGATTCAGTACTCAACACTCGGAGTCAAGGTTCTACATAAAATTAATGATGATACGCTGGTTATCCAGCGCTGTGTGCACCATCCGCAACTCAAGACTGTCAACTGGAACAACATGGTCATGTTCCGCTTGCGCAGTCCTCGAGGGTATGTGGTCGCATACCAGACTATCAACCACCCAGCCTACGCCGAGGGATACACGGAGTATTTCACGGGTCACGAGGACATTGTGGCGGAGGATCTGCAGCCGAAGTTCTCTCGCGTCAACACACTACAGTGGTTCCTCTTTGAGGAAGACGGCAACCTCGACTTTGACATGGATAGCGGAGGGTCTGACCTCGAGTTACTGGGCTCTAGTGATAGTGAAGACTCGCCGAGTATTAAGAAGGAGTCCCTACCGAGAGGCAGAAGAGGTCTGTTTGCACCAACCCAACCTTATGCAGACTCCCAACGGCGTGTTTCAGGTGGCGTCAAAGTATCATTTGGGGGCAAAGTGGACAACCGAGACACGTCTTTTGCCCGATTTTACATGTTCGAGGTGCTCACGTACATCATTCGCTGGGAGAACGCGGTGGGCTCTGCTCGACTCACATTTTAAACGCCGTTGGCAATTAACTAACGTCGAGTAAATAAATTAATACAGTTAATGTCGTGGTATCAATTTGGTGCATGTACTTAAGTCGATGCACGAGGGTCCTCTCGCTAAGTATCGCCGAACCTGACGACGCGCTCAGAGTTGTAGCTCGACGTTCAAGTGACGTCAGTCATCCCATCAGTTCATAGGCATCAACACTGGTCTGTCCAGGACAAATTGGATACTGAACTGGGTTCCGCAGTTCACTATCCAATTTCCCCCTTCCTAAGCCTAGTGTTCTGATGGTGACTGCTGTATACGACATCGTGATCGTGGGTGCTGGTCTCATGGGCAGCGCTGCCGCCTATTACGCTGCGAAACAAGGCAAAAGCGTGCTGGTGCTGGAGCAGTTCGAGCTGCTACACAGCAAAGGCTCCAGTCACGGCTCCAGCCGAATCTTCCGCGTGGCGTATCCGAATGACATTTACACGAAGATGAGTCTCCAGTCCCTCAAAATCAGCAGGACATGTGAGATGCTATCCTGCTACTGTGAGATGCTACTTGCTACGGTCTGCCAGTGTCCAGTGCCAGACGTCATTGCCACAGCCCAAGACACTGGCAATACCAGTACTACCGATCCAACCTACAATCCTACGCGTGTCTATGCATGTACTGCATCCCGGCGTACCGGTCTGCAACGCGCTCACGTGCGAGCGGCGTGCCGAAGATATTAAGGACTGTATGAAGGACGACATTGGTTACCAATTTGGTGGCGGTGAGCAACTGCAACTGCGTTGCAGGTGATGGTGAACTACTTAGCTTTCTATAGACTATCTTAGACTGAGTATGTGCTAATCTAACTATGCGGAACATGGAGGTTCAGGTGCTGGCAGCTCTCACTCTCACAACTGCTTTTGCTGTGCTGCGTGCACAACGAGTGAGAGGCAGCAAGCACCAGAACTCCGTGGTCCTGTCGTGGTACTTTGCCCGGCACTCACGTGTCTTACATTCTATTCCTACTTGCTCTACACCTACTGCCCTACAAGTCTGTGCTTATGGATGAATATCATCATTTCTCCGACCATACTTGAATAAAATATTAGTATTAATGTCCAATCAGAAAGGATAGCCCGTATTTGGACGAATCATACATCGACTGTGCCAATATTTTGACTAATCAAAGCACGGTAGGGTCAGTATAGGTCGATAAGAGGCAGCTCCGACATATCGGGTCGGAGGCCCCTCTTGTGTTATTGATATCGGCATACAAACCTCCACTCATTAGCATATTTTGCAAATAGCACGCGAGCTCCGACCCCTCCGACGCAAGATGAGTCTGAGCGACCTCGCACCGACAAACACGAAGCGCGCACGGGATGGCGCGGCACGCATGTTCAAAGCGTTTCTTGAGGAAGAAGGGGTGACATGGGAGTACCTAGAGGTGTGCATGAAGCGCGACAACGCTCCCCGCGTTTTGGAGGCCGTGGTGGACAAGTTTGGAATGCATCTCGCTTTCAAGGAAGGACGGAAGGGCAGCCTGTTGGCTAGGCACTCAGTCATGCAGTACTACCGACAGGCAAAGAACTGGTTGCTCGATCAGTTCCCACAGCATCGAGAGGCTGTCGGCAAGGTTCTCCTGAAGAAGGGTCAAGTGCTGGAGCGCTATTGCATGAAGCGAAAGTCAGGCAATTTTGTGAAGAAGGCACCTGCATGCACGAAGAAAGCACTCAAGCCGATGATGGTGTACCTCTATTCAAATGGTGTAACAGCTTCGGACTACCAAGACGCGGCGCTGCTGTGCTTGCTCTGGTTTCTGTTTGGCCGAGCCTCTGACATCTCGCTACTCCGGAAGGTGACCTTATCCATCGGTTCGGGGGGAATATTTTTCCTGAGGCTGATCCGTGTACAGACGTCCGAAGAACAAGGTCTCTCCCTTTTTTCCGACGACGACTTCGCCACGTGTCCGCTGCTAGCTATCGCTGTGGCTCTTGCAACTCAATCGGCACCGGCGGCTGCGCTGCTAAACCACCTCCCTGAACAACAAGTGGCGACCGAAGCTTCCCTGACTCCGGCAGCACCCCGGATCGATCTGATCGATAACCCAGAAGCTGTCGCTCCACTCAACTCCACCACAGATGAGAACAAGCCGCTTGACGACACTACTGGAATCCACGGCTACGTGAATCGCGTCTTGACGAGAATAATGCCTGAAGCTGGTGTTGTCCAGCGCTTGACGTCACATTCGTTTAGACGCGGTGGCGCACAGCATGCGAATAGTGTTGGCATGTGTGTGCAGTGAATCTTCGACAGAGGCGCGTGGAACATGACGGCAATCAACAAGGCCTTCGCATACGTCTTCAACACCCCAGCTGAAGATCACAAGGTGGCTCGTGTTTTGAGTAATCGAGGACCAGATGACTCCGTCGCTTTGCTGTCACTTGATGTATTCGACTCTTATACCCGGCAAAGTATTCGCTTGGTCTCTTCAGCTTTATTCACGTCTTCGTCCGGAATGGAATCAGAGCAGTACAACGTTAACGCGGCTGTACACGACACTCTCATGGCTTACCTTCTGCGGCACTATCCGTCACTGAAGACTCTATCGACGTCCGGTCTTGTAATTCAGCGCTTGGAAGCTTGTGCCGAGGATAAAGGCTTCACTGTAAATCATCTGCTTGCTTGGTCGGCGTACCTCAGTAGCAACCCAAGTACTGCGGAGGACTCTAAAAGCAAATTTGCACACGACAACCCAGACGACATCACCCAGCATCCAGTATATTTTCAGCAAACAGCATTGATTGAGCAGTTAATCCAGGTCAACAAGAAGCTTGACGCTCGGTTGACTGGAATGGAAGACATAATCGGAAACAAACACCCACGCGCGCCTACAAAACCAGAAGAAAGTGAGGACTCGAGCGAGAAGAAGTCTCCAGGAAAGCGACGCCGTACCTCTCCAGCTCTAAGCTTGAAGGATGTCTGGTTCGCGTGGTACACTCAAGAACCGCGCATGTGGAGCTTGCCGTATGCTGAAACCAAGCACACACGCTCAACAGGCAAGCAGGTCGTTGCGTTCTTGAAGCTGTTCCTTTACGATGGCTTTGTCTTGGACAAGCACTCTGCTCGCTACCGCGACGATGTTCTCGAAACAGGAAGCCTAGCTGAGAAGGCAATGCTGGCGTTCTTACAGCAGCACAACGTCACTGCCCGCGGAGCGCAAAGCGTCCTGAAGTCCATGCGGAAACTACACAAAGCTGGCCAACTGAATGAGCACATTGGTAAGTACCTACAACGTCAAGCTCAAGGTCTCATCATGGATCCTGCTCCTCCGCATACTTGCAACACGATCGGGTTAGTGACCATGAAGTAATTAATAAAAGCACCCACCTTTCTGGTCATGTCCAGTCATATTTTGCGAAGTTTTGCGCGCTGCACTCTCTGCTGTTCACTCTTCCTTTTGTTCTCAAACCTTGACACCTCAGCCTCGGATGCCTACCAAGAAGCCAACCAAGAACGGCATTAGCTCTGCGAAAGCGTTCAAGACCCTGTGCATCGCTGTGGCCAAGTCTTGCAAGATCCGGGTTAGTGATGAAGCTATTCGTCACCTTCGACTTACCATGAACATTACCGTCGCCTCTACCAGCCTGCTTCCTGAAGCAATTCAAGTCGTCTTCACCTCGTTGGTTGAGCGCAAGATCCAGCGGGCAAAGCTTGTCGACATCCGCGAGTGGCTGGCTTCTCCTGCTGTCGACAACGACGAGGTGGACGGTGACGAAGATAGCGAAAGCGAGAAGATCCACTACGTCCGCAAGATCTTGGACTGGAAACGCGTTTAAGTGCAAAACGTACTACCTCGTCGAGTGGGAGTCAACTTGGGAGTCACGCGAGCACTTGAGCCAAAACATCGTCGCCGCGTTCGAGAAGGAGCGCCGCTTGCTTGTGCGCAAGAAGTTCTTCGAAGACGAGGCTGTGGAAGACAACACGCTCAACATCACGGAAGGATAAAACAAAACAAGATCTAGTGAGGCGCAAACGGCTTCGTATTACAAGTTTAGAAAGTGTTAATGAGTAGAGAGACTTGAACAACAATGTTAACCGCTGACAATAGAACACAAAGCTTAACCTCCTAACGGAACAGCAATGTTAACCTCCATCATTTCCAGGCATTCCTGCTCCGTTAGGCGCGCGTGGGGCTCTGCAGGTGTCGGACCAGGAAGCGACGGTGCCATTAGCAATGAGCTCTTCGCAGCGCCAGAAGCCAACGAAGCCGACATGATGACGGAGGGGGCGTCAAAGTCGGTCAGATACACTTCCAAAGACGACGCGAAGCCGTCGAACTCGGCTAATTTCTGCTTGGTCACAGCGATCTGTCGCCGTAACGAGTTGAGTTCGTTCGTGGCCGCCGCGTAATGTTGTTCAAGCGGCGAGGGTACCCGACGCGACGTCATGGCCGATTGCTGTTGTGCGTTCAGCAGCGCATCGTATCGAGCCTCCAGCTGCGTCACCTGCTGCTGCATGGCCTGCACGTCATTCTGCGGTCAAAGTGAACGTCAGTTTCATCCTCCAGTACGACCGGCACCGCACAAGCCATCGACTTACTTTACGACGCTCACGATACCGACGCTTGAGGTCACGCTGCTTCCGACGGCGTTCCTCGTCTCCCACGTACACACGTGGCTTGGCAAACATGGTGTCGTTGGGTACAGATTTTTAAAAAGCGGGTGGAGAAAGTCACGACGAATGGCCGTGTTCAACCGGTGTTGAAGCGCCAACAAGTCTCGTTCGGCGTAGATGGAAGAGGACACAGCAGGTGATTGCCTTGACGAACACGGGGAGATTCCAATTGTACACGAGTGGGTGGGTCACCCACTGGGTGGCGAAGGAAGAAAACTCAGTGCCTCCTCTCTGGTCGAGTTTTGAGCTGCACGCAGCTCCAAGTCAGACGACGCGGAGATTGGCGGGTCGAACGCAAACAGCAAGCGAACAGCAAGTGGATGGATTGGATTATATTAATAGAGACCAGGCGAGATCACAGACACACGTTTCTGGAAGTGAGACCGGCTTCAAAAAAAAAGCTCAAAGTTTGAAGGAATTTCCATAAATCAGTATATACCTACTGATTTATTGCATGCGCACAAAGAAGTCTTTTTAAAATACTATTTTACAGTTTAACCGTTTCACTTGAAGCCAAACCAGCACCGGCGGTATCGGGTCCTGTCCACCCCTTTCAACCTTCATGCTGTCTAGCGAATCCAGACACAATTGATGGTGGAGCCCATGGGCTCTTGTTGCTGGCCGCTAGCTAGCACTTATTGCTATCGATAAAAGCTGTTTGATGCAGCTCTTTCACATATACTCGGTTTGATTATGTGCCTGATTTCGACATTGCCACAGTACAGCAAGCCCAAAACTACAAATCGCCCAGACCCTACTTATCGCTTCCACTGCCCATAGCTCCTTACAATTCTGACTTAGAATCGCGATCCCACTGGAGGTCTCGTACGTGTTGCGAAGCTGTCTTGATAGCTCTTAAACAGCCCCGCTGTTGACTCGCACCCAGTCCAATGCGCAAACATCTTGCTTCGGAACGCCTGTGCTCTGGTACATTTATATTCCCACGCGATATGGGTGAGTTACAGTGGCAGGTCTCGTCCTGAGGGCAGCCCATGATGTTCGATCCGGCGTAATACAAATTCATTTGTTTGGCGGCCATTCGGTAGTTGACCCAAACTTGGTAGTCTGTAAGCAGATCTCGGTTCGACCAGAGTTGCTTAGCAGTTTGATTCGGACCCATGGATTCGTTGCACTGCCAAACATATCACAAAGTCAGTCACTTTAAGTATTAGGTATGCCGTGTTCTCACTAGCAGTGATTTCCGGACTGTGATAAGGTTGTTCACAACAGTAAAGAGCTCGGTGATGATGGCTTGGATTGTCAATGACCTCGTACAAGTACTGAGAAGAACACGAGCTCCAAACTTGTACTTGTATGCGCTAGATCTAGTGTCACGATAAGTTTTCTCTTTTAAAAAAAGAGCTGCAACTGGTGTGGCATGCAAAAAAGAAAACAGTAGGGAGCTACTGATTTATGGATATTCCTCTCAGAGTTTGAGTGGATCGTGACGTGCCACGCAGATTTGAACGCCTCGCACGGTGCGAGTCGCACCAATTAAACGAGGTTCCATTTTCTGTTTTGCTGTTCTTCAAGTATACTTCGGGCTGCAGGCTGGATGCGAGCCTGCAGACTCTGCAGCAGAGCCCAGGCGAGCTGACTCATGCAAATTGTTATTACATGTAATCGGAGATTAATAATCGCACGACGACCAGTTTTAGACTGTATAAATAGCTGTATGCGTGTGTGCAGCAGGTTTTGCGGCGATCATCGTATCCTAGAGAAGTAACTCACACTAAGCGCGAGGAGGGTACCGCTAATTAATAACAACATACATTAGTATAGAAAGTTGTATACCTCAAGGGTTGGGCGAGATGGTGAATGAATAGGTTAGCGGCGTAGAAGCTACTTATATCGCGCGTTGTCCGCGAATACGCTGTATATGGATGATTAATATCATTTCTCCGACCATACTTGAATAAAATATTAGTATTAATGTCCAATCAGAAAGAATAGCCCGTATTTGGACGAATCATACATCGACTGTGCCAATATTTTGACTAATCAAAGCACGGTAGGGTCAGTATAGGTCGATAAGAGGCAGCTCCGACATATCGGGTCGGAGGCCCCTCTTGTGTTATTGATATCGGCATACAAACCTCCACTCATTAGCATATTTTGCAAATAGCACGCGAGCTCCGACCCCTCCGACGCAAGATGAGTCTGAGCGACCTCGCACCGACAAACACGAAGCGCGCACGGGATGGCGCGGCACGCATGTTCAAAGCGTTTCTTGAGGAAGAAGGGGTGACATGGGAGTACCTAGAGGTGTGCATGAAGCGCGACAACGCTCCCCGCGTTTTGGAGGCCGTGGTGGACAAGTTTGGAATGCATCTCGCTTTCAAGGAAGGACGGAAGGGCAGCCTGTTGGCTAGGCACTCAGTCATGCAGTACTACCGACAGGCAAAGAACTGGTTGCTCGATCAGTTCCCACAGCATCGAGAGGCTGTCGGCAAGGTTCTCCTGAAGAAGGGTCAAGTGCTGGAGCGCTATTGCATGAAGCGAAAGTCAGGCAATTTTGTGAAGAAGGCACCTGCATGCACGAAGAAAGCACTCAAGCAGATGATGGTGTACCTCTATTCAAATGGTGTAACAGCTTCGGACTACCAAGACGCGGCGCTGCTGTGCTTGCTCTGGTTTCTGTTTGGCCGAGCCTCTGACATCTCGCTACTCCGGAAGGTGACCTTATCCATCGGTTCGGGGGGAATATTTTGCCTGAGGCTGATCCGTGTACAGACGTCCGAAGAACAAGGTCTCTCCCTTTTTTCCGACGACGACTTCGCCACGTGTCCGCTGCTAGCTATCGCTGTGGCTCTTGCAACTCAATCGGCACCGGCGGCTGCGCTGCTAAACCACCTCCCTGAACAACAAGTGGCGACCGAAGCTTCCCTGACTCCGGCAGCACCCCGGATCGATCTGATCGATAACCCAGAAGCTGTCGCTCCACTCAACTCCACCACAGATGAGAACAAGCCGCTTGACGACACTACTGGAATCCACGGCTACGTGAATCGCGTCTTGACGAGAATAATGCCTGAAGCTGGTGTTGTCCAGCGCTTGACGTCACATTCGTTTAGACGCGGTGGCGCACAGCATGCGAATAGTGTTGGCATGTGTGTGCAGTGAATCTTCGACAGAGGCGCGTGAAACATGACGGCAACCAACAAGGCCTTCGCATACGTCTTCAACACCCCAGCTGAAGATCACAAGGTGGCTCGTGTTTTGAGTAATCGAGGACCAGATGACTCCGTCGCTTTGCTGTCACTTGATGTATTCGACTCTTATACCCGGCAAAGTATTCGCTTGGTCTCTTCAGCTTTATTCACGTCTTCGTCCGGAATGGAATCAGAGCAGTACAGCGTTAACGCGGCTGTACACGACACTCTCATGGCTTACCTTCTGCGGCACTATCCGTCACTGAAGACTCTATCGACGTCCGGTCTTGTAATTCAGCGCTTGGAAGCTTGTGCCGAGGATAAAGGCTTCACTGTAAATCATCTGCTTGCTTGGTCGGCGTACCTCAGTAGCAACCCAAGTACTGCGGAGGACTCTAAAAGCAAATTTGCACAAGACAACCCAGACGACATCACCCAGCATCCAGTATATTTTCAGCAAACAGCATTGATTGAGCAGTTAATCCAGGTCAACAAGAAGCTTGACGCTCGGTTGACTGTAATGGAAGACATAATCGGAAACAAACACCCACGCGCGCCTACAAAACCAGAAGAAAGTGAGGACTCGAGCGAGAAGAAGTCTCCAGGAAAGCGACGCCGTACCTCTCCAGCTCTAAGCTTGAAGGATGTCTGGTTCGCGTGGTACACTCAAGAACCGCGCATGTGGAGCTTGCCGGATGCTGAAACCAAGCACACACGCTCAACAGGCAAGCAGGTCGTTGCGTTCTTGAAGCTGTTCCTTTACGATGGCTTTGTCTTGGACAAGCACTCTGCTCGCTACCGCGACGATGTTCTCGAAACAGGAAGCCTAGCTGAGAAGGCAATGCTGGCGTTCTTACAGCAGCACAACGTCACTGCCCGCGGAGCGCAAAGCGTCCTGAAGTCCATGCGGAAACTACACAAAGCTGGCCAACTGAATGAGCACATTGGTAAGTACCTACAACGTCAAGCTCAAGGTCTCACCATGGATCCTGCTCCTCCGCATACTTGCAACACGATCGGGTTAGTGACCATGAAGTAATTAATAAAAGCACCCACCTTTCTGGTCATGTCCAGTCATATTTTGCGAAGTTTTGCGCGCTGCACTCTCTGCTGTTCACTCTTCCTTTTGTTCTCAAACCTTGACACCTCAGCCTCGGATGCCTACCAAGAAGCCAACCAAGAACGGCATTAGCTCTGCGAAAGCGTTCAAGACCCTGTGCATCGCTGTGGCCAAGTCTTGCAAGATCCGGGTTAGTGATGAAGCTATTCGTCACCTTCGACTTACCATGAACATTACCGTCGCCTCTACCAGCCTGCTTCCTGAAGCAATTCAAGTCGTCTTCACCTCGTTGGTTGAGCGCAAGATCCAGCGGGCAAAGCTTGTCGACATCCGCGAGTGGCTGGCTTCTCCTGCTGTCGACAACGACGAGGTGGACGGTGACGAAGATAGCGAAAGCGAGAAGATCCACTACGTCCGCAAGATCTTGAACTGGAAACGCGTTTAAGTGCAAAACGTACTACCTCGTCGAGTGGGAGTCAACTTGGGAGTCACGCGAGCACTTGAGCCAAAACATCGTCGCCGCGTTCGAGAAGGAGCGCCGCTTGCTTGTGCGCAAGAAGTTCTTCGAAGACGAGGCTGTGGAAGACAACACGCTCAACATCACGGAAGGATAAAACAAAACAAGATCTAGTGAGGCGCAAACGGCTTCGTATTACAAGTTTAGAAAGTGTTAATGAGTAGAGAGACTTGAACAACAATGTTAACCGCTGACAATAGAACACAAAGCTTAACCTCCTAACGGAACAGCAATGTTAACCTCCATCATCATAGCACACAGAGTTTAACGCAAGCCGGCTACACAACACACACACTCGCACGCACACGCGCATACACACACAAACACGCAAAAACACACTCACTAATGGCTTGCGTCTGACGGCTGAAAAATCGTGAATGACAGAAAACTTGTTTGTCGGCCACTCTTAACCACCAACTTGGTAGGAGGCCACGTGTCGGGGTAAATACGCGCAGGCGTAAAAACCGGAAATTTTACTAATGCTCTTTTTAGTGGACCCCGATTTTGGGTGGCGCCCTCATTTCTCAAATTGCAGCCTGTAGTGCACAAGGCTCTGTAGCTTAAAATCATGCGTTTTTTTTTTGCCTGTTTCTCTGCCCACAGACCGTTTCAGAGCCTGTGAGTGCGCCTATAAACGTGCCGTTTCGGCAATTTCTAGCATAGACAAATCTGCACATGGTCTCTAATTACCCTACCCACAATTACCTTTTAACTTCTTTTAAGTCCGATCTCGTCCCTCCTCTACCGTCGGAGCTCGTCGGAGGTCGGAATTTTTTTGGTATGGCACCTACTTTACGTAGTGATAGAAGGTCGGAGAGCCCGGTGACGCGCCATGCGTCATCTTAGGAAATTGAAAAGGAGAATGACGTCGAGCTCATTTGTATGACGGGCGAACTGGACTTCGCTCCCACTTGGAACGACGACCTCCAAGGCCTCAAAGAAACTTTGACGAGGTTCAGCGTACCATTCGAGGTGCTCAACGGGGCCCAAGTGAACGAACGTTTCCCGGGGTTCTCTTTGCCAGCCAACAGCCATGCAGTGTACAACCCGTTGGGTGGTGTGCTCAATTCTAAGCTGGCGATGGCCACGATGCAGAAAGTGGCCACCCGACTGGGAACGGAGTTCCGTGAGCATAGCCCTGTAAAGAGTGTAGAGGGCGAACATCAAGCTGGAGGAGCCCCACTCGCTATCATCACGCTGGCCAACGGAGTGGTCATGCGTGGCCGTCAGTGCATCGTTACTGCGGGTCCCTGGACGAAGAAACTACTGAAGCTGTCGGGGTCGGACAATGTCAGACTGCAACCGATCGCGACGTTCGGAGCTTACTGGAGATGCGAGCAGGAGATATACAAGCCCGACAAGTTCCCCGTGTTCATCAAGTACGGATACCCGGAAGTGTACGTCTTGCCAATGATGAATGCTTATGAAGGTGTGAAGATCTGCCGCCATGACGGACCGGATGTCAACCCTGATGAACGTCAAGGGGTGAATCAGCCTAAGAACGAGGAGAAATGGCTGCAGACTTTCGTCGCTGAAAACTTCTCGAGTGTGGACTCGAATACGCCCAACCAAGTGAACCACTGCATGTACACCATGACCCCAGACTCCAACTTCATCCTCGATTTCCTTCGGGTTCCTGCGAGTGCTGGTGACCCGACTGCGACGAAGAGAATTATCGTGGGAGCTGGCTTCAGTGGTCACGGAGCGAAAATGACCCCAGTGATCGGTCAGATCCTTACTGATCTGGCGATAAAGGGAGGATCCAATCACCCCACTGAGGTGTTTCGTATCACGAGGGTGGCTGCTCCACAAGAACACTACTCGTTTCCAAGGAGCAGTTTGTGACCTGATGGTACGTCTACCGGTAGCCAAGCTATCCTGGCCCATGTACGAACAACTTTTTACCGATTCACATGGAACAAGCCCATGTGAATCGGTATCTACAACTTTGCCCTGAAGAATATACGATTTTCTATTAGCCAGAACGGAGCCTCCAATGGAAATATATATGTATTCGTGATCTTGTCGACTCGTCCATTTGCGGTTACGCCCTTATATCCAACTGAAGGAAGACGACATAATCGCAAAAACACCGTTGAAAACGGCGTGCACCACACTGAAATGCACAATAGCTCCTCTCGGGGCGGGGCGACGCAGCTATGACGCCAACAAAGGCGAGCGGATGCGAGGTCGTGTAGCCGCAGCAAACCCGGGCGGGGAGCCCGCGAAGCAGGGCCGGGCAGTAAATGCGGAGGCGGGCCCAGCACTGAGCTCACCAGCGAGCCGCGCATTGCACTTTCCAGGTGATAGAGTCTTTAAAGGATAGTGCTTACGTTCAATGAACGTGTTTTTGCTGCGAGAAAAGCCAAGTTAGGGTTACCGAGATACCGCTGGGTAGTTGTCTATTTTTTTTAGCTTTTCGAGATTTTGTGCCACTCCAGCTATCCACTCAACCCCCCCCCCTCCGCTCCAGCCTTCTCCGCTAAGCAAGCAGCTCCTTCGGGGAGCGATGACGACGCAGAAGAGGAAGAAGCGTGCCCATGCCAGCAACAGTGAGGATAGCGAAGGCACCAGCGTCTCTTTCAGCCAGTTCAGCGGGGGATTTTCGTCTTGGGACGCGTTTCATGAAGCGTTTAAGACGTACGTGTTCGTGGATCTATACCTGTGGGTTTCTTGCGCTAATATACATTCCCTACAACAGGTACCAGGACGAGACGCATCAGCTATACAAGATTCGCTCTACTAACTCCGTAGCGAACCGCAACAAACAGCGTCTGCTTTCGTCAAGTCGACGGGGGAAAACAGCCTTTCTTTTCGACGAGGCTCACAAGGTCTATACGAAGACGCTTATCTGTACGCACGGGTGGGCGTTCAAGCCCAGCGGAAAGGGGTCCAGAACCAACCACAACATCCGCTCCATTGAGTGCCCGGCATAGCTGAATGCAGTGCTTGTCCACGTCAAGGAGCATGAGTATGAGGTTCAGGTTACATCCCATATTGCGACGCACAACCATGATGTCGGACGGAACGTCTACTACTCCTACGCTGAGGCTCGAAACATTACGTCTCCTGGAACGCGAGGTGTGGTCTAGACATTGGTGCAAGATGAGCGAACGAGTACTATTTTAAAGATAAAGCTGTTTACAAGACTTGTGTCTGATTATAGGCGGATTTAAGACGAAGAAAATCTTGCGGTATCTAAAAGAAGTGTCGGGCAACCCAGTACTGCCTAAAGATGTGGAGAATCTAATCGCAAAAAATGCGCCGGGAGACGTACACGTCAGAAGACGACAATGAGCGAGTGACACAGGTCCTGCGAGACTTTAGCGAAGGTCTTGGACCCGCTGTTAATGTTTTTCGCGATAAGGAAACTGGCCTTACGTCGTGTATTACCTTTCAGACGGCGCACATGAGAAGGATGGCACGCAAGTTCTCCGAAGAGATCTGTGTTGATGCTACTTACGGGACTAATATTAATCGGTAAGGTGCTCCTCATATCTTCGTTCGGATCACCAATGTTTGTGAACCTCTCACTGACACGCGTACAAATTTGTGAACTGTTCACGCTCAGGTATCGCCTGTTCAGCTTTATGGTCAAAGACAAGAGCGGGCGTGGATCATTTGCGCAACACGCACTTGTTGATAGCGAAAGCAGATTGAACATGTTGTACGCGGTACAAGCTTTGAAGCCGAATTACCCAGTGTGGACAGACGTGAAAGTCATCGTAATTGACAAAGCCTTCACTGAGTTGGCGCTGCGGCGTGAAGAGTTTCCGTGCGCTACAGTTATTATCTGCCATTTCCACGTCATCGACTATCTCAAGCGAGAAACTAGCAAGAAAGACTACGGATTTTTTTTAGTTTGAGAAGCTTTACATCAAACCTAACGTCACGATGATGATTCGTACAGAAAAAGAGAGTCTTTTCGATAATTACCTGCCCGTCTTGGAGAAACTGTGTGCAGGAAAGTCATGTTTTCTTGACTATTTTACTGAGAATTGGTCTAACTGCAAGGATCAGTGGTGTACGTTCAAGCGTGGTAGCGTTTCTCACCTCGACAATAACACGAAAAGCCGCTTGGAGGCTAGTTGAAGCGCTGCCAAGGACTTACGGCATCGACATATGGCCATGGACGAGTGCATTGACCACCTTCCGCTCTTACAGCAGTCCGCTGAAGATCAGTACACTGCCAAAGTCAAGTGCGTGGGTTTTCGGTACTACAACCAGACCTATGATGAAGAGATGAGTATTTTGGCAAAGCTAGCTACTCGCCACGCGTGCAATTTGGCTGAAGAACAGTACCTCGTTGGTGGCAAAGAGGTGTACGACACGTCGAGTGAAGAAAGCTCGCCAGGTGTATTTACCGTGACCAGTGCGAAATCGGGCGGGCAATACGCAGTCAGCTTGCTTAAAACCACTTGCAGTTGCGCTGAAATCAGACCGTACTGCTTCCTTGCAGACATATACGATTTTTACGGCGGCAAAATTCGGGCATGCGCTCAATCATTCCGTATGAGGCAATACCAGGTCGGTGACTGCTTGCAGACGAACATGAAGAAGATGATGCAGCTCCTGTTGACGCCACGCAGAAGTTTTACGTCCACGACTTTGAAGCTCTTCCTCCTCGCGTCCTCGGTCATAATAAGAAATATCGGTCGGTGTTTTCCGTGTGCCAGAGGGTCGCAGAACTCGTGACCGACAAAAGATCTTAAATTTTTCGTGCTTGGCTCGCCTATCTTACGGAGTTGGAGACAGTTGCTCGTCAAAACGACAAGTCACCAGTGCGCCATGCCGGCACTGATGGCGAACACGCCGCTAGTGCAGATGAAGTTGGTGAGTGTGTCACAAACGTTGGTGAGTGTGTCACAAGGAGAACGCTGAACCTTGACTATCTTGAGCGCGGTTCCGATGAAGAAATGGTCAACATTGTGTTGAATACTGCAAGTAAGCCGGCTGGACGTCCACGGGAAAAGAAATTAACAAAGAAGGCGAAGCGACGAAAGGAATTTGAAGAGACGAAGACACTTGTCCAGCAGGTCAACACTCATGGCGATATTACTCTGTCTGATTTACGGAAGTGTGTAAGCCAAAAGAATCTGTCGCTAAAGCAAGTTGGGCCTGTAATTAAGTGCAATTCGGCTTCAGCACGAAAAAGCCATCTTCAAGCGGCCCAAAGGACACGTAATTACGCCAGGGACGACGAAAACAGTCGAATCAAGTATCCGGTTCGTTCTTCCAGAAGCTCTCATGCACAAATCACAATCAGTCGGAAGGAATGCTAATGCTCGCGAGCAGTCAAAGGCTGGACATATGCCGTCACATTACGACATCATCGTAGCAATCTTAGATGTTGGAACGTTCTCTCTCGCCGGTATCGACACCATGTACGAATGGCATTGTCTAAAAAAGAAAACTTCGGCGGCCCAAAACCTGATGAAATGGGATGAATCAAAATCCGACACAAAAATTCGCCGTGCAATCACGAGTCGTGTGCCCATCATGAATATGTACTCGGCATTTAAATCGAAGGTCGGGGAAACTATCGTTCAGTTTGATGACTTGACAAAGGTTGCAGGAGAGATGTGGCTCTGTGATGGATGTGTTTTCGTGGCGGCTTTAAAAATGGTAAACGTTTGGATTCGTGTCTGAGATAGACAAATTTCAGACGTGCACGTGGTGTATCCTGTATTTCTCGGTTTTGAAATTGATGCTGACCGAGCACGAATGATTGACACGAAGCTGTGTGTGATGAGCAAAGTAGCAGCTACCCGCGCTATCCTGGTCCCTATCTATATTGATGAGGCACTGGTGTGGGGCAATTATCGACTTTGGCAGCAAGTTCATCTGGATTTACGCCCCAAAACACAGAAACGACTATCTTGACGAAGTTGAAGCAATTGTACTGAAAAAATTGGTGCCGCAGATTGAAAAAACTTGGGCGCTGACCATTCGACGCTTATCTGCATGGTACCAAGACGACGGTCATAATTGCGGCGTATTGGTTGTCAAGTGGTTCGATACGTTTCTTAACGTCGCAACGAACACCAATCAGGGCGAAGATATTACAGACTTGACCCCTGATCACATTTCCACGGCGGACCTGGATGAATGCAGGTACAACATGATCCAGTCGGCCTTTATGGGCATTGCTACTAGCTAACACGCCTAACTAAGTACATCAATTGCACCATTTTATATACAGGGAGTGCAGCTGTTTTGGACGCACTCATATCTCGCTTCAAAACTCCACCAGGAAGTATTGTTAACATCGTAGTACTAGAGGTAGCAAAACGTTGTGGGGTGCATCAGTGTAATCGACTTAGTGCAGTGGCTCGCGACGTGTTGTGTAGTGTAAGTACATCGCCAAGCTCTTCAGAAATACCGTTGATACCGGTATTGCCCGGGGTCGGAAGCAAATGGCTGTTTTCTACCCAAAATTTGGTGAACGTAGGGAGAGCCATCATTAAATTGCGAGCGAAGCGCGGCCTCTTACCTTATATTATGCCTTCCCACAGGAGAGCCGGGTAATTCCTCCCGCCTGCTCTTACAAATGCCAAGTCAAAACAAATCCTAGGTGCCATCATGCAAAACGTGGTGTTTTTGATGCGTTGTGCGGGTGTGTAACTGGGTACGTAACCGCAGGTGTTCCCATGGTTACATAAAGAGTGACACATCAACACTTCGGGATACCTGGTACGTGGTACCAGTGTCGTCAGAGGCCAACCATTAGCTGATGACATAACTTTTCTAAAGGTGACTTATATTTTGTATATTTAACTCAAGCTAAGCCTACCTATAAATACATTCAGCTTACAACTTACCTTAAACTGGCCACTTCGCTCCCT